CGGGCCCGGCGTCCTGGGCTGAAGGCCGCGGCCGGAAGAGGAGGGCTGGCGATGGTGGACACCGAGGCCTCCGGGTCGGAACTAGGGCCGGAACCCGGGCCTGGGCGGGGGCAGCCGCGGACTCGGGGTCGCCCAGGGTCGCCATGGCAACGCGCGGCCGCCCCTCGTTTCCTCCCGCAGGCGCCCCTGTTCTGGGGGCTAATGACAGAGAGCTCTTGGTCCCGAGGACAGGGCCGGCTGGGGTGCTGACCCCCGGTCTCGGGAACAGCGGGGACGGGCGATGACTTCTCTGGTGTGGGGGTGGCGGAGGGAAGACGCGTCTCAGGTTTCGGCGTGGGTGCCCGACGCCGAGCGGGGAGACGGGCAGCGATGCCGCGCAGGACCCCGGGTGAGCCCTCCGCGAGGGTCCTGGGGTCGCCCCGAGCCCTTTGGACAGCCCTGTCGTGGGGAGGAAGGGAGGCAGGGAAGGGGCTCTCGGCCGTTGGCCCGGTTTGGGGACCGCGACCCGGCAGAACATATCCGTGAGCCCGGCAGGGCGCGGCCGGTTTGTAAACGCTCCTCTGCGAGGAAGCCGCTTGCGTCCAGCACGGACCTGCCTCGGAGCTGCTGTAAAGGCTCCCTTTGTCTAGTTGTCTCATCATACGTTGCGGATGATGGGCACTGTTAAAAAAAGAAAAAAGAAAAAAATAGAGAATTGCCATAGATTATGAAACACCAAGTGGTTTCGCCCCTCATAAAAGAGGGAGCTGTACAACTGTGAAGATTTGAAGAAATGATGTATGTGGAGATTTTCCATTTTCCTCCTGCAGGTGTGGCTCCCTGCATTTTAAGTTGCTTAGGATTCAGTGTCAGGCTTCTTGCCTAGCTATCTGAGATCAGAATACTAGATCTTTGGGAAGCCTGGACTTTTGTTCAGTGATGGAAAAATGGACACTTGGATCACTTGGAGTCGTAAATTTGTTAGATTATGAAACTGTTTACTGAGTGCTTCATTTTTCAGCACTTCATTTTGTCATCTGTGTATGATGAAAGTCTTCCGCTCACAACAGTGATAAGAGTATGGGGCAGCATCTGAATTTCTGAGAATAAAATCAGTGGGAAAGAAAAAAATATTTTTGTGAATTGAAAATATCAAAGATAAATTTTTTAAAAAATGTGCCTATTAACTTGATATTCAACTGAATCAGCTGTGTGAAGGGGCAGGGAACTTTAATGTGAAACTAGACCTGCTTTTATTTCCTCTGGGAAAATAAAAGAGTCATGTAATATAGAACTACAGTTGCAATGAAAACAGAAAGAGGGTTAAAATGAGTGAAAATTAAATAGCTTCTCTTGTTTTCTCTTATTTGTCAATGTGTTTTTATTTACGTCATGTTTGTTATTAGTGATTACTGGAATCTTAGAATTTTAACTACCTTTTATTGCCAGTTTGTTCTAAGCATAATTGCCTTGAGATTCATCCTTGGATGGTTCCTGCTATCCATTTTTTTTTGCTTGAGATCCTTAAACATGTTATCTATTACTCTAAACTTATCTTTACAGAAAGTCATTTAAAAAGCCTCCTTCTCCGTGAAGAGGTACCACAAAAGTAAAATAAATACTAGAGATTAGCCAATTCGCAAGATCTTGAGAATATTTTCATAAACTTTGGCTGGAGTGGGGCATGGTATATGGTATATCTGAGAGGGACATAATGAGAAGTTAACTAGGGGTGTAGGTTAGTTAGGAAGACTGTCCACCAAGGGGAAACAAGCCGCTGTTGGCTTTATAGGGGAAAGAAAGGGTTTGTATATGTTTCAATGTCACGTCTTGGAAATGATGTTGGACTCCTTTCTTGTGCTTTCAGCTACAAAAGACCCCACAGCTGTAGAGAGAGCCAACTTGTTAAACATGGCTAAACTGAGTATCAAAGGACTCATTGAATCTGCCCTAAGCTTTGGCCGCACTTTGGATTCTGACTATCCCCCCTTGCAGCAGTTCTTTGTTGTTATGGAGCATTGTCTGAAACACGGTCTTAAAGGTATCACGAGATTTAAAAAAATTAACTTTAGAATCCCCTCTCCTTCTATCTTAAGCATCTTTGAAAATGTGGTATTTTTTGAGTTCATAATTACTGTTACTTTACATTTTAAAATGATGGGTTGGTTTTGGGAGAAAATATCTTACTGATTTATGTTGTCAAATGAGTGGTCTCAGAAAATGCTTAGTGTTTTGTAAAAAGTATATTTAATCAAAAAATTTTCAACATACTCTGAATTGGTTTCCATTTTCTAAGACAGAGAGTTATTTTAAAAATGTTAAGCTTGGTGATTCTGATATGAACTCTTATTACTAGTTTGAGCCCTGTTGAACAAATACGTTAAAGTAGTTAATTATTGAAATATAAACCTCTTTAGTGCGTGGAAACATAACTAGAAAAATTGTCTTCTGGATTGAGTTGTAGAAATGTGAGCACTCCCTGAAAATGATGATAATGGTGAATATTGTAGTCTTCTACAATGTGCATATTGAATTATTATGTGCAAAATGTTTGTATTATATTTAGGTATTTAATATATGTTGTATAATTATTTTTTACTTAATAACAGTTGACAAAAATAACGTCTATGATCAGCAGCTGTGTAGAGGGCTATGTGAATTAAAGTCGTAAGGTAACCATTACAAAGCAAAAGAAGCTTGGTTTCTTGTTATACTAGGAGTCTGGGTAGGTTGCGGGGGCCTAGAAATTCTGACTATGGCACATGAAAGTGGGGGTAAATGTAAAAAGCAAAAGAGGATATTTATCTAAACATGATTTTAATAAAATTGTACTTCAAACCGAGAAGCCTTGGCATCAAAATTTGAGAAACCCTATGTGATGTTATTAATGTACTCATTTCTTTTTTTATTTTAAAATATTTATATTGAGATGTAATTTACACATAACATTGTTAATTTCAGGTAGACAGCATAATGATTAGATATTTGTATATATTGTGAAATGATCACCCCAAGTCTAGTTAACACGCATCACCACATAGTTACAATTTTTTTTCTTGAGATGAGAACTTTTAAGATTTACTCTTAGCAACTTTCAAATACAATATAGTATTATTTATTTAAAAGTTTACATATTTTCCTCTTGCATGTTATGTTAGTATACATTGAAGAGAAGATTAGAAGCAGCAAAAGTGCAGCAGGATGGCAGCTAAGAGCAACTCATCAGGAAATATTCAGAAGGGTCTCCTATTAAAATGCAGTAACTTCTCATTGATGTGGTTATTCATATACACATCTTATATGAGATTATCATATACACTTAGACACTGAAGGTCTAATTATGGTAATTCTTTCATAGCATGCTGTACATTACATCCCCAAGATTTATTTATAGTGGGAGGTTTGTATCTTTTGACCACTTTCATCCACTCGTACCCTCTCTGACAACCAACAATCTCTTCTCTGTATCTATGAGTTTATGTTTTTGTTTTTAGATTCCACTTTTTAATTAAAGCCTTAAGATAATTTTTTAAGATTATGTAAATAATAGAAAATTATACTGTTTGTACATGAATCAAACAACATAGAAGCACATAGAGCGAAACATAGTTTCTCTTCTTTCTCCTCTCTAAAGGAAATCTTTGTCATTCTTGGTTTTTTTTTTTTTTTAATTCTAAGTAGATTTCTGTGATTTCCTTTTTTTTCTCCCTCTTAAAAATGAAAATGGTATGTTTTGGAGATCGTTCCATTTACATAGATGTCTTAATCACACTTTTAATTGCTGTATAATATTTCATAGTATGTGTATAGTGTGACTTTAACTACTCTCCTTTTAATGTACACTTAGGTCATTTCCAGTTTTTTACTATTAAAATTGTGCTGTAAGAACATCTTTGTGCACAAGTGCTAGGGTTTATTTAGGATTCCTGGGTGTAGAAGTATTGAGTCAAAGGGTAAAGGCAACTGGCATCTATGAAAGTTTCACTGATTTATCTAACAACAGTGAGTGCGAGTGTTTATTTCCTTGTATTTTTGGCTACTCTTGATATTATCGACCTTTTTGAAAATTTTCCTTTTTCCTTTTTAAAAATAGCAGTAACAGAGATCTTTATTTTCCTCCA